TATCCTCTGCAGCTAGGTCAGTTCGGGCTACGACCCTTCGAGCAGGGCAGTTCATGAGCTGCTATCTCCGACCGAGGTTAGGTCTTCTTTTGCTCTGCTGCTGTTATTATTCCTCCAACCTGTACACAAGCCAAGGCTTCTCGAAGTCAAGTACATCAAAGGTAGGGGAAGAAAGGGTCATCTCAGGATGGACTCAATATCTATTATCTTGCCACTTCCCTTTCTCTAAATCTTTCGTTTCAAGCATCAAACGGAAAATATAAAATAGTCATAAGAGAGTAGACATATAAACAAGTAAACCCGGCCCAGGAAGAATGTACCGAAACATCATACATATGAGACTGAAAGCTTCGTCTACCCTGTCTCTTGTGAAAAATTCTGTATTGATCGACCTGTGTGACCCTAGCCAATCAATTCATTCAATCAACGAACTGGTCGGGATGATAACCAGAGACTTTTCCTGTTCTTGGAGCTCAATCACTAAGGCAGGCTGCTTTCCGAGTCTCCCCATTTCTGTATTTCAAAAAATGGGGATCCCTCCTATCCCCTGCTAGCTGGATAAGGTGGGTTGCTTTCTCATAGTCTCCATTTCGAGATGGTGGATCAGGCTAATCAGACTTGAGCTCTCTCGTCTGGAATGGAGGGACGTTTAAGAATTCCTTTGGTAGTAGGTATGGGGCACGCGGAGACAACTGAGGCAAGTAGCTAGTTGACTGTAGGTTTAGAGCACGCTAGGATAGATTCTAACTAATTCTCTCTCTCCGGTCTTGCTCTTCCTCTTGCTAGGCGAATGGGCTTTGGTGGATCCGATCCCCCAAGAAAGGTTTTCATTCCTGCTCTGGGGGTTGTCCTAGATCACTAGGAGAGATAAGAATGTATTAGCTGTTAGCTCTTCTTGCCTAGTAGCTAGGTTCCTATCCTAGTAGTTCTCTTTCTTCCATTGCATCTATCTATCAGACAATCTTATGCAGACAATTATGAGATTGTCTTCGAAGGTATTCTACCTGTCCTATCCTAGCTACTAACGAGAACAAGGCTGCTATTCCTGGCGACGTACTCGAGTGAGCCCTTTCTCTTCTAGCATTAATAGTGGTTCGACCTCTTGCTCTTATATTCCCCCTCATGTAGTAAGGAAAGGAATAGGTAGGTATTATGAGTCTTAGAGTCCTCCCTTCTATCTTCTTTCTTCCCGATAGCTAGGAAGCCAACTTCCAAGGCAGGTTTTTATTCCTGTAGGAGGATGTCTCCCTTACTGTGCTTGTAGTTGAGTTGAGTAAGTCCTCCCAGCTTCTTCTATGCCCTAGTTCCTAAGGTTCTGATCATTCTCCGGTCTTTCCTTCCCTGTTCCTTCTCCTTTTTCGGGCGGGAGAACATAAACTATTCTAATCTTCTTCCGTATTGATCTTGATCGTCGCCCCCCCTAGAAGAGTTTGACGGCCAATCAGGATCTACGTAGAAAGCGTAGAATAAGTCCCTTAAGGCGATCGGTAGTCTTTCCTGAAGCACTTTCTTTAAGCAATGCCTCCGCCTAATCTTTCCCTCCAGTCCAGTAAAGTCCAGCCAGCCGTATCAGAGCCTCTCAGAGATGTCTGTCCATTCTAAGTTGTTCTGGTCGCGGGCGGTTCAAGGCCTTCTATTCTAGCAGAAGCGTCCCTGCTCAGCGTAAGACTTAACCGAGACCTTCGAGTCAAACCTGCGGTTGAGCTCGAGCAGTCGGAACACAGACCTCAGTCAGGTTGCCCGGGGAATACCCCTATAGCTTCCATTTTCCTCGTGACATGTCGGAAGTCGGGAGGAGAGGTAACAAAAGCGGACTCTTCTAGCTTAGCTGCAAACTTTCTGCTCACTGAGTGAGAAGAGTCCCCTCCTTTCTTTGTTGACTCGAATCTTATTCATTTCTATCGTGAATGGAATCGAAATCATCGAGAAGTATGGGGTTACCTCCGGAGGTGCTTGTATCAAGAGATCAATCAAGACAGAAGAAAACTCAGACATCGGTATCGGGGTCACGGAGGAGAGAATCAGTTCCCGTTATAACGCACTGCCGACGCTTTTCCCCCACGGCGTGCTACCTTCGACTTTTTATTTTAGGGTAAGGAAAGTCCGAAGGCTAATCCGGCAACTCCCTGGCAGGCAAAGAAAGAAAGGCAGGTCGAAGAGCGGAGGATAGATAGAGATAAAGCTGAGGTAAGTAGTTAACTGAATATGGATGCTAGGGTAAGAGAGTAGGAGAGATGGAGGTTTGGCACAAATTGCGATTTTCTTTTTATTGAACTACTGAGCGCTAAACAGCATTTGGGAACTATAGTCTTTGTTTGTTTGACTGACCGACTCGAATCGATTGGTCACCGATAGAATATCCGGGGCTTATGGCAAAGCCCGCTTTCTTCGCCAAACAATATTTCCTTCTTCTTCTTTTCTTTTTCTAGGTTCTTCCTCGGTGTTAGGTCAGGTCTGCTCTTGCGCGGGTATTCCCAGTTCTTACTATTCCCGGGCTATTGAAAAGAGAAGCTAAACCAAACCATTAATTCTTAGTTCGAGTTGCTAGAGTTGCTAGAGCTGATGTTCTTGCTAGTTCTGGTCAGCGTCTTTCCTCTGATGCGAGGGAAAGGTGAGTGAGAACTACGGCATATAGTAATTTGTCGGAGTGTGTTCATCAGTCTTCCTTCTCTGATAGGGCAATTATAGCCTATAAAAAGATTGAGTGTACCCCACCTCCGGTAGACCCCTTAGTTTGAAGTACGAGTGATTTTACTGCAGCTTTCAGGGCAGCTCTGTCAAAGGGAAGTCTAGTTCCTTAAAGGTCAAGGGCAGTTACATTAGCTAATTCTCAGTGTCACGGAAAAGCGCCCCGAGGGGTTCGATGCGATGTAACGGATCCTCCTGCTTGGTCTTACTATTACCAGCCAGTCCGAGAGTGAAAGGCGCTCCTTGGCAAAGGAGCTTACCAATGCCCCTCCTGCCGTTTCCAATTCATATATCGATTTTTTCTTTTGTCTGTCAATCGACGTTTCTTTTTATCCTTTCGAGAGACCTCAGCGAATTCAGAAGCCCCTCTTTCGTCTGGCCTCCTGCTGCTACGTCTCGGAGTCGGCCCCCCTATCACTTAAAGGCCTTATCGTACGAAGAAAGCTGACTTCTTTTCAATAGAAAGGAAGCAAAATAATGTTATAATCTAACAGAAGCCAGAAATCACACAGCATAGATGAATGGAACAATAAATGAAGAAAACCTGAACGGATAAAGAAGAATGCAACCCTTTTTTAAGCTCGTTTCAAGCCGGAAAACAGTAAATGAAGCTTACATCACCCCCCCTTTTTTTTATTTTTGCATTTTTAATATAAGAGCCTAAATCTAACACTACCCATCAATCATCCAACACAACCAACTATTCATAAAAGAGAAATTAATTACAGAAATCAGAAATAAGACGGCGATAAAAAAAAATGAAATAAAAGACCTAGGAACAAGCAAGGAAGATTTTTAGCCCCAACGACAAACGAACCTACGCGCGGGGCATTTTCGGGGAGTAGCCCGCTTCCCATTACTCAATAGGGCAATTCCTCGCACATAATTAAGGGAGCCATTGAAAGGTGACTAAAACACCAGAAACGGCGACTACCCGAGCTAATGATAGAGGCAAGAACACTTTCCGGCCAAGTCCCATTAATTGATCATAACGATATCGTGGAAATGCTGCACGGACCCATATATATAGAAACAGAAAAAGAATCACCTTGATACTAAACCGGATCGAGCCCGGGATCTTCTTGAAAATGGGAAGATCTAGGATAGGCGGCCAACCTCCTGGAGAGAGCGATGTGCATGGACCAGGTGAGTAGGGATGCAGCTCCGTGGACCGCTCGTCGGGCCTGATAGGTGGTGGTATCACACCCTTCTCAAAGGAACCGTACGTGACACTCTCGCGTCATACGGCTCCGTCCCGGAATAAGGATCCCCCTTTCCTTTGACCAACGGGTCCTCAAACCAACCTGTCCTCCCTTTCTTGCTCGTTAGCGCTTTAGTTTTCAATAAGGACGTTTAGGCTTTACTAATAAGATAGAAAGGGCTTTTCTCGCTTGTTTAGTATTGCTTTGGCTTCGCCGTATCTTGCTGGCGCGGAAGCTACCGCAACTAAAAGAAAATGAATGAAGGAAGAAGGCATTAGCATTAGAAAGACTACAGAGGCATTCCGGGCCGACTACAATACAAGTCATGAGCGATAGCGAAGCCAAGCCGGATAGGCTTTTTTATGTCGAAAGCCCCAAAACTAGCTATCTTATAGCAGACAACTAACGCAAGCCTACTCAACTAATCTCATAAGTAAAGGCCTGTTCGCATCGCAACTAATAGAAAAAAACAACTACTAGACTAGACTAGTAGTTGAGTGCTCCTTTGATAGAAATTCATAGTTAGGTTAGCCAGCCCGGTAACCCCGACAAGTGGGAGGCTCTTCACTTTCCCTATCATACGATTCTGCCAGACTATTCTATTTCATTCATTCTCCATTCAAAACCGTCTATTCCGGGAACCCATAATCTGACGATTCTTTCATATGATTTTTTTCGTGAATTCGACATCAGTGATCTACGACCATCCTTTCTTCTTTCCATTCCAAAAAGGAATGGTTGGTATGCGGTCCGTCCTTAGAAATTCCCGTGGAATCCCCCTTTTGTGATTGTTCCAAAGCGTGCTTCCGTTTCTTGTTCTTCGAGCTCAACTGGTCATGCTTCTTTCTCAGTTGCGCGATTCCTAGCTGCTAGATCCTAGATCAGAGGATGTAGGTGAGTCTGATTGTTCTGACTTCTACTGTTGTAAGTTGCCTTAAGGCGCCTTCCAGTTCCAGCCCAATCCAAGTAAGGATAGATAGTGAAACCTTGAGGTTTAGGACTCGCTATGAACTTCTTTCCCTCGTCATAGATAGGTAAAGTCCTTCCTCTCCTAAGGTCAGGTTTAGATAGGGTTATCTCAATTCAATCTTTGATCTGTCCTTGGGGCCAATGAGGCTAAAGAGTTCAGATTATGCTGGTGACTTAGACAAACGCCGGTCAACAACAGGGTATTTATTTACGCTTGCTAAAGGGCCGGTAAGTTGGAGGTCAACGCTTCAGTCAACGGTGGCTTTGTCTACTACAGAGGCAGAGTGCATGGCAGTGACGGAAGCCTTTAAGGAAGCTATTTGGCTACATGGGTTGATTGAAGACTTGGGAATTGTTCAGAAGCACGTTGAGGTGTTTTGTGACAGTCAGAGTGCCATTTGTTTGGCAAAGAACCAGGTTCATCATGCCCGCACCAAGCACATTGATGTCCGTTTCCATTTCATCCGAGAAATTGTGAATGAAGGGGATATTCTGCTTCAAAAGATTGGTACTGCAGATAATCCGGCCGATATGCTCACAAAGGTAGTTTCTGGGATCAAGTTCCAACATTGTTTGGACTTGGTCAACATCTCTCGGAACTGAGCACCTTCGGGTGCATGGCAGTGTTGATCGATCACTATGTTGGATAAGAGAATCCTCGCCAAGGTGGAGATTTGTTGAATATTGGCTACAGATTCTGGCCATGTGATGGAAAGTGGCAGCCAGCTACATGGTGGGGAAGCCATGAGGCCATGTGAGTTGGCCATGAGGCCATGAGAAGCCATGTGAAGCATCAATCTGGAAAGCCACCGAAAGCACAACAATGGGCTGCAGCCAGCTCATTTCAAAGTCTTTCTCTTGCATTTGTAATCTCTATATATAGAGAAGCTAAACACAGCTGAGATAACAGAGGTGTGAGCTTAGAGAGCAAAGAGAGAGAGAGAATTACAGAGAGTGTTGTAATTCTTACCATTTTGTTCAATATAGTGAATCCGCTGCCCGTGGACGTAGGCGACTTGCCGAATCACGTTAAATCTTGTGTGTTATTGCTTGTTTGAGTTCCCTGGTATGCCCCCGATACGCAACAATTTCATGCATACTTTGGCTTCTTTTCAGGTACCTATGAAGCCCTTGAATTAAGAGACGGAGGGTCAGACTACCTTGGGAAAGGTGTATCGAAGGTCAGTCATTACTTTCCCTTTACGCTCTTATCCTGCAATTCATGCACCCTAGGCTGATCTTGTTGCACTCTTCTCTGCACATATGTAGGCTGTTGAGAATGTCAACACAGTTATTGCTCCTGCTCTCATTGACAAGGTTAGTTGCATAAACTTCATCCTTTCCTAGAGATATTTTGTGTCCTCATCAATATTGATAAAGTTGGGTTTTGACCTTCAATATCATTGCTTACTATAATTGGAAAATAAGGGATATTAATTAAATGAAAATCCTTGAACGGACTTGTCCAATCAGTGTTTTTCTTAGAAGTAAAATGATAATTTCCAATCTCATACTGAGGTTGTGTCTCCATCTCGAGTGAAGTTCGTAATTGTTTTACACAGGACCCAAGTGAACAGGTTGCCGTTGATAACTTCATGGTTCAACAACTTGATGGAATTGTAAATGAATGGGGTTGGTGCAAGCAAAAGGTATTTACCACATTGCTTTTGTACAGTTTGACATACTTATTATAAAGCATATACACTATCAAATCAATTTTGGTTTTTCAGCTTGGGGCGAATGCCATATTGGCCGTGTCTCTTGCTGTTTGCAAAGCTGGGGCTAGTGTTAAGAATATTCCCCTTTACAAGGTATATTTTAGATCACTTTTCCATCACCGGTTACACTATTTAGTCTTTTTACTTTCGCACCTTCATGAATAGAATGGCATTTGCATTCCAATTTTCCATTCCTTGGACAATAGTTGAACAGTTCATATCACACACATATATACATTCTACCATCTTAACGAATGATAATGTGAGAATTTGCTTTTCCTTTTTCAGTATTTCGTACTCTTTTTTCATTCCCATGTCTTTAAATTAGGTTCAAGTTTCATTGTTTGATATTTAATGCAGGTCTTCAAATTGCAGCAATAACTTTTAGGCCTCCTCTATATGTTTTGTTAAATGCATAGATCTGACATAATTACTTCTCCTTGTTGCAGCATATTGCCAACCTTGCTGGAAACAAAAAGTTGGTGTTGCCAGTTCCTGCTTTCAATGTGATCAATGGTGGATCACATGCAGGAAATAAGCTTGCCATGCAGGCATGCCTCTGGATATGGCCTTCCTATTTTATTTCTCAAGATATTCCTTCAGTTTGTGATTCTTATAAAATTTTGTTTGCAGGAGTTCATGATTCTTCCTGTGGGAGCCTCCACTTTCAAAGAGGCAATGAAAATGGGTGTGGAAGTGTATCACCATTTGAAGGTGGATCATAATTTCTTATTCCTTCAAGCTTGCTATGGTGGATTACAACTTTATCAATGCACCTGTCAATTTATTATTCTAACTGTAGTAACAAAATCAGATCTACATAATAGAATTGTCCATCTCAAAAGTTTGGATTTGCTATTTCATGGGAGTCATCAAGAAAATTGTGGAAATTGATCTTTTTGACCATGCTAAATGTTTTGATCCATTTGATGTTTGTTAGGCTCACTTCCAACAAATGGATTGTTGGGCTAGGCATCTTTGAGGCCCATCCATTGCAATATCAAAGTGGACAGACGTGTTCCTTAATTGCATTGTGAGACAATTTCTACTTTTCACGCTCATAATTTTTGTATGCATTCAATGGACTTAGGACTTCCAACAGAAATGAGACACCCAACTTGTAGGTGCATTGTGGATTGCCGTTACCTTCCCATACAATGTAGGATACTTGTGTTATAAGATATTTTTTTTCCTGGTTTACTTTTTTTTGTTACAAATTACATGAGTTTTCTCTGATGCATAACTTCTTTTTTTGTATTAGACACTTCCACATCATTGGAGAGTTCATTCCTCCTCTTTTGTTGCCTAGTTTTAAATTTTCGCTCATACTCTCTAATTTCAGGCTGTGATTAAAAAGAAATATGGTCAGGATGCAGTAAATGTTGGTGATGAAGGGGGCTTTGCTCCCAATATTCAGGTCAAACGTGGTTTAATGATGGCATTTTGACATTTTCGAAGAACTCTCTCTATATATATAAATATGTAAGTCGTGTCTTAAATTTTTTAAAGTATTTTTGTTTCTTGCAAGTTCAGGAGAACAAGGAAGGCCTTGAATTGCTTAAAATGGCTATTGCAAAAGCTGGTTATACAGGAAAAGTCAGTATTTCTCATTTCCCATCTCAATTCTTTTGTTAGTTTCTTGTTACATAATGAGATTATAGACTTGTTTCCTCTCTTCTTTAGGTTGTTATTGGAATGGATGTTGCTGCATCTGAATTTTATGGATCAGACAAGACCTACGATCTCAACTTCAAGGAAGAGGTAAGTTTCTGTTATATTTCATGGTAACTATGGCAAACTCAAGTATTTGAAATTTGGAACCAAGGTAAGAACTAAACTAGTTAAATTGGGAACCCAGGCCCTTCCATGCTTGAGCTTCAGCCTGAGAACACTCTTATAGAAGAGCAAACCTACAGCCAGGGTGACCCATTCTTATACTTGAGAAAACTTATTGGAACAATGGCTCATTACAGAAACTCTTGCAACAGCTGCATACCAATAAATAAACATTTGCATATCAATGAAGATTGTGTAGAATTTTTTTTTTTTTTTTTTTTTTTTTTTTTTCATTTGAAAATGTCTAAAACTAATCATGTTCTGGTTCCCTTTTTTTTTTCTCGAGATCCTAGTTTTTCTTGTCTGCCAAACAGCATACCCAATCTGTATCTCCCTTTTCTCCTCCATCTATGAGAAAATGTGAAATTCCTTTACTCTGTGTGTAATTTCCATCATGAATGTTATTATATTCATGACCCAAAAATCAAAACCACAGACCAAACCAAATCCATTATTTTATCAAAAAGAAGAAACGAAGACACAAATCAAACCCAAAAATCAAAACCACAAATCAAACCCACAAATCAAAAATCAAACCCACCAACAAATTTTTTTTTTCTTTTTCCTTTTTCCTTCATTTTTTACATTTTATTTTAATAATTAATGGCTTTATATTATACAAAAAATCAATCACTAACTATTATATATAAGATAAACAATGACAAAAGTAAGAGAATAAATAAGAGCCTAAATATATATATATATATATACATATTTTAACCAAGCCAAATAGATAATGACAACACTTATTAGTATTATTATTTTCAAACAATATATAGATAAATACACACAAACAAAATGGTTTAGTGATGGCAGCTGAATAGAATAGCATAGGTTTTACAGCTTCAACAAATCAATAACATGTTCTTCATCTTCCCTCTTCTCTCTCTCTATCTCTTGCTCCTCCATTTTCTCTCTTTATCTTCCCTCTTCTCTCTATCCCTCTTCTTCCATTTTCAGTTTTTTTTTGGTGTTTTTTTGAAAGAAACTGTTTGGAACCGTTACGTAACGGTGTGTATCAGGCCGTTACGGCACCGTTACGACGCCGTTACGGCACCGTTACGACCGCTACGGCAACCGTTACGGCCGACACACCTATGAATCTCAATCACAATGCAAAAGCAGCCGTAACGGGTGGCGGTAACCGCCAAAACCGTTACGTAACGGCGTTACGTAACGGTTGCGGCTGCTTTTTAAAACCTTGGGTAAGAGCTTTCTTTTCTAAATTCAAGGTCAAGGTCTCGAGTATTGTGCACTTCTCTATGTAACTTTTGGCATAAGGAGAAGTAAGCAAAGGCTTGGACACCAAGTCCAACCTTCACTTAATATAATAGTATAGATGGTACCTTCAACAATTTTGGTCAATAACCACTATACAGAAAACCACATCTTAGAGCTAATTAGATTTGAGGCTATGTATGATTCACTGACTTGGAGTTATTTCCTTGAGGTAAAATCAGATATGATTCTTCTCCCCCTTCTTACTGCCAAAAAATGTTTTGCTTTTGGGATCTTGTGATTCTCCTTCTAATGGAGAGTAGGCATTGCATCAATCTATCTGATTCTGTGTGCTCCTAATATTTGTACCCAAGGTTTTAAAAAGCAGCCGCAACCGTTACGTAACGCCGTTACGTAACGGTTTTGGCGGTTACCGCCACCCGTTACGGCTGCTTTTGCATTGTGATTGAGATTCATAGGTGTGTCGGCCGTAACGGTTGCCGTAGCGGTCGTAACGGTGCCGTAACGGCGTCGTAACGGTGCCGTAACGGCCTGATACACACCGTTACGTAACGGTTCCAAACAGTTTCTTTCAAAAAAACACCAAAAAAAAACTGAAAATGGAAGAAGAGGGATAGAGAGAAGAGGGAAGATAAAGAGAGAAAATGGAGGAGCAAGAGATAGAGAGAGAGAAGAGGGAAGATGAAGAACATGTTATTGATTTGTTGAAGCTGTAAAACCTATGCTATTCTATTCAGCTGCCATCACTAAACCATTTTGTTTGTGTGTATTTATCTATATATTGTTTGAAAATAATAATACTAATAAGTGTTGTCATTATCTATTTGGCTTGGTTAAAATATGTATATATATATATATATATTTAGGCTCTTATTTATTCTCTTACTTTTGTCATTGTTTATCTTATATATAATAGTTAGTGATTGATTTTTTGTATAATATAAAGCCATTAATTATTAAAATAAAATGTAAAAAACTCAATTTATAGTGATTTAAAAATATGAAATATATTGGATCATACTTAAAAATTTATAAAAATTGATCAATATTTATTTTTAACCCAATAAATATGATCATGGAAAAAAATATGTGTATTGGTAAGTTTTTTCAAATTGTGTGAAAAATAAAAAAATTCACGGTTCCGGTTACCGCAACCGTTACACTACGGCCTTTACACCCCGCAACCGCAACCGCGTCACTGCCACCGTTACGGTAACCGCAACCACTTTTTAGAATCTTGTTTGTACCTGTTCAAAATCCAATGTTACTGAGCCCACTATTGATTGCTTAAAAATACTCTTAACCAAAGTTCATCATTTCTGAACTATGTCTAGAAGTTGTGTATTGTAGAAGTTAATTACACATTTCTAATTGTTACAAAAATTCATAAAATAACCAGCATATGGTGGAGTTGGTTTGCCACATAAAAATGTTTGTTCAACTTAAAGACCTTGTGTTGCAACTACTCTTGAACTGGAATTGTTTTCTGCTTCTGTTTCATACCTTGCTCTCCTGTATAACGTAACTGGATCTCTCTGTCTATGTGACATTTTCTGAATTCTGGAGCTTGAGAGTCTTCACTTGGGTTCTCAATTAGTACTTCAGAAAACCTTTAATTGTAAATCAAACAGAGTTTTTCTTGGCCTGTGTAAGTTGATATTGGAACATGTCCAAAATATGTCTGATGTGATAAATCCTGGATGTTAGTCACTGTCATTGGATCAAATCACAAAGGAATGAGACCTGATTAAGAATTCTTTCACTCAAGGGAAATATCTACATTGACAGTCAAAACTCTCCCCCAAAGTAGATATTGGGTATAGCGGTAGTACCATGTGGTGTTTTCACTAACGAATGAGCATTATCATATTGTGGTACTGGGAACTGCATACTTGGGTTAGTGGGGACAAGGTTGGCCACCTAATCCTATTTGCGGTATTATATTGATCGGTGACACCCTAACACCATGTAGGATAGTGTTACTGTTACACTAAGAGCACATTGCATGATTTGTAAATGCTTGATTGTAGACCTGCATAAAGGCTAAAAAAAATCAGTGCCATCAACTTATTGTTTTTATACAGTAAGGCTTCTCAAAGAAGTGTTTATTTCTATGTATTTTGTTTCTTATGCTACTTCGGCTGTGCAGAAAAATGATGGCTCTCAAAAGATATCAGGGAAGCAACTCAAAGATCTCTACAAGTCATTTGTCACTGACTACCCTATTGTATCAATTGAAGATCCATTTGACCAAGATGACTGGGAGCACCACTCCATGATGACAAGTGAAATTGGTGAAAAAGTACAGATTGTTGGAGATGATCTCTTGGTCACCAATCCCAAGGTGAAAATGGACTTCAAAAAAAAAAAACTCTTTTCTTGCTGTTTTTTGTACTACTGTCTCCATTTGCACGAGGAAGTGTGCATGAAGCACATATATTGGGTCTAAGGCACAGAAATGCGATTTTACAATTTTTCCAACCATTTTTTTTTTACTCTGCTTCTTTTTGTTTGTAGAGGGTTGAGAAGGCAATCAAGGAGAAAAGTTGCAATGCACTTCTTTTGAAGGTATCACTGAAATGTTTGTTAAGCAGAGTGTCCTGGATCAGTCAGAAATGTATCTCATTTTTAATATTTGTTTCGGGAATAGGTTAATCAAATTGGATCTGTAACTGAGAGCATTGAAGCCGTAAAAATGTCTAAACACGCTGGTTGGGGTGTAATGGCCAGCCACCGCAGGTTTGAAAATCATCTTTATGAAACTTTAAAAGTTAATCTAATTCATATTCTTACAGCAGTTGTGAAAGTTCAAGTTTCCAAATAGTTCATATTATTTGGTTGCAGTGGAGAGACAGAAGACACTTTCATTGCTGATCTCTCTGTGGGTTTGGCAACGGTAAGCATATATGGAGCCGATGTTTAGTATGTCACTAGGAATTTTCTTCTTAACTTGGTCATGCTGATGTTGATTATTCATGAATTTGCTCTATCAGGGCCAAATAAAGACAGGAGCTCCATGCAGATCGGAGCGTCTTGCGAAGAACAATCAGGTTAACATCCTGGCATTTTCATGTGCATCAACTTTAGTTTCCTTTTTTGGCTTTCTAGCATTGCTTCCTATTAGTGGCGTTAGTTTATTGAACATTAGAAAGTTAAGGCTTGTTTGGTAACATTTATTTTTGCAGTTTTTATTTATATTTACAAAATTTTGAAAATTGTAAAACAATATCATTTGTTTCCTATTTTGGTTTTCAAAATCTTGTAAACAATTTACAAAATTTACTAAATTCTTGTTAACACAAAAAAAAATTGGTTTCACATGTTAAAAAAACAAAATAATAATATTCATTCATTCCTTCCTCTCCTTCTCCCACCCCTTCTAGCCACCACCCACCACTCATCACTACATCCGGCCTCCCCCATCTCCATCAGCCGTCACCAGTGACCTTCGCTGGCCACCACCTCTGGCAGTCGGCCACCATCTTCTACCATCGGCAACCACCTTCAGCCACCATCTCCAACCATCAATGACCACCTTCAGGCACCACCTCTGGTTGGCCACCCCTTTCATTTATTTTCAAAACAAGTCTGGAATTTCTATTTTCTTTTTGCTGAAAAGAAACATAAGCATGTTTAATATTTTCTATAAATTGTAAAGGTTTACCAAACGGCACCTAAGCATGACATTTTAAATTTATATTATCTTTTGCTGCATATACAGCTCTTGAGAATCGAGGAGGAGCTCGGTTCTTTGGCAGTGTACGCTGGAGCAAACTTCCGCATGCCTGTTGAGCCCTATTAGATGCCGAGATTGGTGTGTTGAAGACAGTTTTTCAAGCGGCATTTCGACAACTTTGGAGTTTCACTTGCAGTGAATAAATTAATCTACAAGTAGAATTGGTCCGTCTAATTAGACTAGACAACTATTCTTAATAATTTATAACTCAAAAAAAAGTTTTGTGATGAATACTATATATATGATATTGCAATCTGAAAATGCATTGCTGAATGATAATGAACTGATGGGTTCTTTCTGATTGTGTAGTCTTGCTCTCCTTATACTAGATAAATGTTGGGAAATTTTCTCTCTTGGTATCTTTCTGGAAGGAATGATCTGGGCCGTTGAGAAAACAGTTGCGAAATCATGTTTCAATTTTATTCTTTAGTGGTGCAAATTCTTGATACTGTTGAATTGTTCAGATTATCTTGATTTTCTTGGTCTGAGATGGTTGTGTTGTGGAATTGAAAGTATTAAAATCAAATGGTCTGAGTTACATGCTAAGCTCGGCCCCATTGAAAAGAAGATGATTATATTAATTGAATTTTTTTGCAGACATGTTCTAGAAACTTCTAATTATACCGAATTCTGGCAAGTTGCAATCTTGGTGAACTATTAAAATGGATGCTATTGTCAATTTATAACAGTTCCACCCAAGAAACTTCTACAATGATCTACTAAAGGAGTTATAGAAAAAATGACCTCGGTTAAACGTTATGTCGAATTTAAAACAAAGTTTGAAATACCATTTGTGCCACCTAAGAGAGTTTGGATGTGGATAATCAAAACAGTAATTCAAACCTAAAAGTCATATAAAAATACAAATAAAAAATTCATACATAATTTTTATACATAATGATATGATTTATTGTGAGCGTTTCACTTTGAAATAAAATACCATTAAAAATGAATTTATTTACAATAATGACATTGTCATATCATTCTTGTTATTTTTTTTGTATGTTTAGAATTTTTCAAAAAATACCACAAAAATAATGTAGCAGTGATATTATTGTAAATAGAAGTCATTTTCACAGGTATTTTGTTTTAAGGGGAAAGGTTTTCATTGTGTCATATTAATGAATTTTTTGTTTGTATATAAGTACTCAAGGAGGTTGAAACTAGAAATTAGAAAAGAGTAATGCTATATAGATAAAAATTTATACATAATGATGTGACTTATTGTGAACCTTTCATTTTAAAATAAAATACCAAGAAGTTTAAGGTATTTTACAATAAAAGTTGTGCAAGGATGAGGATGATATAATTTGTGATTAATGCAAAATTAGTTTCAATGTTGGAAAAATTACTCTAAAATCCCATATTGGAAAATGTTATTCCATTTAATCTTAGAAGTTTTGTTTCAAACCATTTGGTCCTTTTTATTTTTGGAATGGTGTATTTATTTGATTTGGGGGTTTGGGGGTTTGGGAGTTTATTGATTTGCCCTTGGTTGTGATTTTGTTTTTAAATTTTTCCTCATGTTGGGGTGAGTATGAGTAAGGTATGTGAGTACGTTTCTATTTTTTGGAGTTATTTGGTGGAGTGATTTGTGGGATGTGTGATGTTACCCAGTTGACGTGGTATTTTATTGATGTGGAAATCGTTTTGTTTTGTTGAAGGAGTTGTGGGTGTTTCATTTTTTTTCATTGTTGTTGTTGGGTTTGTGTTGTTGACATGTTGTGCGGCATTATTGAGGGTGAGTTTTCTATGTTGTCTGTTGGTGGTGTGTTATGTTTGATTAAATGCTCTCCTTGTTGTTGGGGTGTGTCGGGGAGTATGATATGTTAAGGGGTTGATGTTATGTTGTTATTTTCTGGTCGCTGCGGGAATATGTTGTGTCATTTTTAGACGATATGGTGTTAATTACAGTAGCGTTATATCATGTGTTTTTTTTTTAATTGCTGGTATGGAGTTTGTAGTGTTGTTGTTATGTTCTTACAGTCAGACCAATGCTGTTGTTCGTCTTCATCAAGCATTCCCATTTGTCCAGTTGGTTGATGGTGTATGTAGGAAGTTTGATAGTTTGGTGTTGGAGTTAATGTATTTCTTGTTCACAATCCCCAATTACAACAAGTTTAAAATTGTGATGACGATATTCAAAATATGTTGTCCCTTGAAAAGTCATTCGGTCTTGATCATATTGATGTGCTTATTCAAACGCGTAATGACGGGTCGGGCACATGGTGTGTCGGATTCACCTAATGTTGGGGTGTGTCAAGCCATTGATGGGCGGATGTCCAGTATGGAAGACCAAATTTGTTGCCATTAAGGGATGATTGTTTTCTTTTTCTTGAAGGGTAGTTGCGATGGCCTCTTCTTGGCCATTCTAGTTGACGTTTGGACTGACATTTGTGAGCGGCCTATCTTTCCACCAATCCTACATTGGGAGTTCCAACTTCCTGAACTACCTGCAGTAACAGTCACATCAAAATATTAATGCAATTGTGCAATTGTACAATTAAACAAAAACATAAACGGCACAACGTGCAAAATGACAAGACACCCCGCCACAAACACCCAACACATGAACTCCAAGGCAACAACAAGGCATGCAAGACATGGTGTTCACTTAGCAAAACGACAACGCAACGCGCAAAACCAAAAGTGTAACACTATTGAACTAATTAGCCAGCAATAACATTTTGCAAAATTATGCAACATATTACCACAACGATTCCTTCCGTTGCCAAACAAACACAAGAACAAGTATACAATTACATGGAATGTTCATTATAATTGATTTAAACAATACCACCCATTTAATAACATTACAGTAATTCTTATTACAATTCCACATAATGCAACCAGACTCAATTAATATGGGACCCCAATGATATTACAACACAACGACAAACCCCTCTCACCGAATGCCACTTACACTACATAAAACCAAATGGGTTTCAAACACAGTTATTATCAAACAGACGGAACCACAACCCCACCAGCACTATTATTGAAAACAACCCCTTCCAACTAAACGTCTACTGTGCCGTAACAAAAACATTACTAGTAGCATGCATCCACTTGCATTACAACAATGTTCGTACCATTTATGCGGAATATTCACTAACATGGACTTAAACACCATCACACATTAGCTACCATGTCAGTAATTCATATTTCAAATCAACACTACAATGATAGACTCAAAAAACAGGGGATCGTAAGGACATTACAGCACAATGACACTCCGTTCCCCATTCATGCCATTGCAAATACACTTCATAACATGGGTATGGTCATAACACTTCAACTACAATTGACAACATTGACAATCCAAATGTTAATTGTCGTACATACTTTCGGAAAACAAGTAATGCGGAGACACATTACAACAACGCCACAATCACAACAAATAATCCTAACATTAACTCATGCTAACACAACAACCACATACACCCACAAATAGCACATTATTGGCGTATAAAATGTTGGTTGAAACATAATTAAAACCCCAAAACCAATTGCCAATACACGACCATAACCCCAATGAAAATCGTAACCCACACCAACAGCACCAAGCAATGTCATAGTCGACTATCTAACATCACACCATCAACATCAAAACCATACAATATAACATTAACCACACAACGTATCGAACCAGCATAAAAAATAAATCAACATGGGCAACACATACCTAACGACGACGAAGAGAGCATGCAAACTCGATAGCAATACCTCATCAACATCAACCATAACAACGAAGCTATTTTGTGTCGCTCCTAATTGCTAACTCAAATTCTCCTAGAAGAGGGTTCTCGTGTATCTAGGGTTTGGGAGAGGGAAACCAAATGTTAAATTAGGGAAAAACATATGTGAATTCAATGTTGTCAAATCTGTTGATTGAACTAATGGAGGATTCTACATCACATTAACGTCAGTGTTCCAGAACTTTCCATATTTGTTCCTCCTTTATGATCGGATAGGAGGGAAACCAAAAAGCTGTATAGTACGTTATTTTGGACACATTAGTAATTTCAACATCACCAAAAACCCCCTTTTACCCCTAACATTCTAGGAAACACTAGTTCAAAATATGTGCAAATGTGTCATTAACATTGGAATGGGACTTGTTAGTTTATAAGAAAAAATACAGGATTAAATGGTACACAACATTTTGATTTGGGATTTATTGATGCTTCACTCTTTAATGTTTGTCCGAAAAATTTGTAAAACCAAATCTGTTATTGATGAGACAAAATTGGTAAGGAAAATAGCATGAAGAAGTTCACTTAGGTGATGATAGTTCTCATTGCTCTTTTTGTTGTTTTTGTCCTCTATTAAGAAGTTAAAATAAGCATAAAAAGCAAAGAGCTTAGTAATTTGTACAGTTCACACTCTTTAGTTTTACTTATGAATTATCCAGTGAAAGGTCTTGGTCTGGACAAGAGCTCAAACAAATCGTCTGTGATAGTCTAACCTGGATTAAAGGTATAGTTCTTTTCCTGATCTAGGTTAAGGTTCCAATTCTCTTCTCTTCTAGTATCAAAGGGAAAGTGAATTATAATTATTTTTTTATGAAGATAAAATAGAGTTATATATTTTTATTCATGTTCACTCCTAGTTCTAATGGGAAAATATGAGTCATAATTAATTATAATCAAAATAAAATAAAATGATAGAAAAATAAGTTAGAGCATCTCCAATCGTTCACATTTTCTTTCATCAAATTTAAATTTGATAATAAAAAAACTCAAAAATCATTTCTAATCTTTTCATCAAATGTTTATCAAATCAATGTATATCCATTTCTTTCATCAAATTGAGAACTCATCACATTTGATGAAAATAGAAATTCATGATAAGAGGAGAATTTTTATAAAAATTTTGATGAAAAGATTGAAATAGTTTATATCAAAACAAGTTTTTTTTACTCTAATTTAGAATCAAATTGATGAATGGTTGCAAATACTTTTACAATTATTTTTTTTATCAAAACAAATGATAGTGTTTGATTTGAGTTTTCTGGATTAAGTTTTTTGAAAATTGAGTTTTTTAGTTTTCGTGTTTTTTTTACTTTTAGTGAATATTTTTAAATTTTTAAATATTTTTTTTACTTTTTTAGATGTACCTTACTTAGATGTATCTAAAAATTAAAAAAAATGTGAAAAAATATTTTAAAAAATTAAGAAATACATAAAAATATAAAAAATGTACTGAATTCTTGTATTTTTTTTTTATATTTTTGGTATTTAGTGAATTTTTAAAAGATTTTTTTTACAATTTTTTTACTTTTTAGGTGTATTTATGTTAGGTGTGTCTAAAAAGTAAAAATTTTGCATAAAATATTTAAAAAATTCAGTAAAAACAAAAAAACACGGAAAATAAGAGTGTAGAATTTTCTGAAAACTGTTTTTAAAAAATGGAAACCAAGCAAAGTGATTCTTATTCGCATTCTCCACCACATTTACCTTATGCGTTTTCTCTTTTCCAGTTTCTAGATTTGATCTATGTTTCTCTTCCACCCTCAATGTATTGATTAATTGAGTTAATGACAGATCTCCTTGTTTATGCCTAAGACGCTTAGCAAAGTCATTTCAAGATGGAGGTAATTTATCGATAAGGCAAGACACTTTAAGCTCCTCACTAAAAGTTGTCACTTTCTTTTCTACTTTTCTAAGTAGTTCTTGAAACTCATGAATTTGGTCTCCTACAAGTATGTCATCTTTCATTTTATACCCACTAAAATTTTACTCTGAAAAATCGATGGAACTTTGAGCTATGAGCTTTGAATCAGGCCTATAATCCTTGAATCAATCGATGTTTACTTTGAAAAACATTGAATCATGCCTATAATCCTTGAATCAGGCCTATAATCTGAAAATTTTAGAAAAATATCAATTTTTCATACCCCCGTTCTTCAGATTTTCCAGATTTTTCAGATATTTGAAACTTTGAGCTTTCAAACATCTTGAGATTTTTCATACACAGATTTTTCAGATTTTACTTTACATCTTTGAGCTTTTGAGTTCGAATCAAATGATCGCCGAGACCGATCTATGCAATCATTCAAATCTGCGATCTTAAAGACTCAAAACACACATATATATAGATTAGAGATCGGAATATGTACATATATATATTCGAATTCAAATCTCAAAACACACAAACAATTCAAATCTCAAAACACACACACACACACACATATATACATATAGAGATATATTCACAGTTTTGGTTGAAATCACGAGAGCTCCGAACGAATTCAATCCAAACCCTAGGAATGGAAGAGAGAAGGAAAAGAGAGAATTATACTTTCGAGGTCTATTTAAGTTCAATTTCGAAAGTATATATATATATATATATATAAAGCTCTTGATCTGGTTGGTACTTTGTATATTTGGCTTGTTTGTTTCTCAAGAAATTATCAAAAGCAAAAAGAAAGTTTAGCATGGAGTGGCCTGCGTATTTGGACGAGTATAAAAAGCTCCTAACAACGATGAACATGAAAAATCAGATTCTTATTCCACCGCCTTTCTGATAATGAGGACTGCAAAACAGTGGGTTAACTCGAACCAATCAAGTATAAGAGGGTGGGGAAGAGAGTGAGAAGAATTAGTTAAGGGTATAATAGTTATATAAAATATTTAAATAATAAATTTTGTCCTTTAGGAAAGACTTTATAATTATGAGGGGGTTTAGAAAGTATAATTTTTTTCTTAGTCCTTTTAACAATAAAAGGAAGGTAAAGGGGATTTATAGCTAAATTTCCCTTAGAAAAATGGAACCAAACATATATTTTTTTAAAAAAAAATTATGAACGATATGTTGACAATAATTTTTCTTTTTTCTTTGTTTTTTTTTTAGTCAAAACAAAATGAAATATATTTGATAAACAAAGTGAAAAATTGCTGGCTATGGGCTCGAACCCATGCGCACTTTTGTGCTCAAGATCTTGTGTCTTCCCCCTTAACCTCTCGGGCAATCCAGCTACTGACTGTGATAAGCCTTGTGATTATTATTAATGTCAAATAATTAATACAATTTTGGAGCTAAAAACCCTAGATTACCTGATTCGAGAGAGAGAGAGAGAGAGAGAGAGAAACCCTAGATGAACAAGAGGAGGTGACTTCTGAGTTTGTGTGTGTATTGGAAGGAATTGAGTTTGTGTGAATGGCGGAGCACTTGGCGTCGATATTCGGAACAGAGAAGGACAGAGTGAACTGCCCTTTCTACTTCAAGATCGGAGCTTGCAGGCATGGCGATCGCTGTTCAAGGCTCCATACCAAGCCCAGCATCAGCCCTACTCTCCTCCTCTCCAATATGTACCAGCGCCCCGACATGGTCACTCCCGGCGTCGACCCCCACGGCCACCCTCTCGACCCCCGCAAAATCCAACACCACTTCGATGTCTCTCTCTCTCTCTCTCTCATTGTGTTTTTCTGTTCCAGTCATATTGATTTTCAAATGTGCTTCTTTATTTTTCATTTTCTGTTTTAATTTTTGAAAATTTTTCACTCTTCCCTAATTTTTTTTACTCATAAAGACATTGCAATGACATATGACAGTTTATGGTCTAATTTTGATATGTCTCAAGCTGAACAATCATGTGGTGAATTTGATGATTTCAATTCTAAGATTGTTGCTCAGTCTCATGCAATACTTATCTGATTGTTTGATTGATTCTGTTGTCACTCATTCTCCATGATTTAGATTTTATGTTACATTTTTCCTCCCTCTTGTCGTTGACGGAAAAAAAATGTTGATCCCACTAAAGCGGGGTTTGGGGAGAGCTAGATGTATACTATGCAACCTTATCCATTTTTTTGTAGAGACTATTTCTGTGACTCGAACTCATGTCACTAAGGATGCTAACAGTTGAGAGAATGGAAATCGAAATAAATTTGATTTTGTTCATGTTTTATCGAGCTTCTTGGCAATCAAGCATAGTTTTGATGTAGCTCAAGGTTAAGGTTATAATTGTTCATAGCTATTGTGTGCCTTACTTGCTCAAATTTTACAATCTTTAGTTATATGTTGCTCTAGCAAGTTGATGGGTTGTTCGTTTTGGTGTGAATTGAGACTCTTGAAGATGATCTCATTCTCTATGTTTGATGGGTTGACTGTTTTAACTATTGTTTTTAAATTGCTAATGCTTTTAAGTATAGCCAAAAGATTAGTCTGCTATTTGCTTGAATTTGCAAGAACTGCATTGAAATGCAGGATTTTTATGAAGATTTGTTTGAGGAGCTGAGCAAGTATGGAGAGATAGAGAGCCTGAACATTTGTGACAACTTGGCTGACCACATGGTATTTGTTAATTTTTAGTCTTTGTACTTTGTTAATTCCAATTCCAAGATTGAAATCCACTGTATTAGCTTTTATGGATTTATGCAGGTGGGTAATGTATATGTTCAGTTCAGAGAAGAAGAACACGCTGCAAATGCACTTCAGAATCTGAGTGGGAGGTTTTATGCAGGCTAGTTAGTCTCATCCTCATAGACACCATATATATATATAGAAATAAACATAAACCAAATATATACATACATGTTGGTATGCACATTGTTTCCACCGGCCACTTCTGCACATATACATACATGTTGATATGCGAGTTCAATGTTTGTTGTTTTGCTATATTTTTAAACGCTACAGTTTTTTATGGGGAGACATTTGATTTTATCTTCCAAATATGATTCCCCTGTCAAGCTGCCAAACATAGATGGTCTAAATGTGGCGCAACTTGATGTATATGGGTTGCTTGAGTATTGCACCATGTAAAGATGGCCGAGCACGCGTTGAAGACCTGTCTAACAGAAGTTTGGTTGGTTATAAGGTTGAACTTGCTTTCAGCTTTGTAATTGAACATGATGGCAGAAATCCTCAAGTTATGTTATTTTACTGTTGTAAAACTTGTTAGCATCATGTAGATGGAGATGTTTGATTGGAATATCTGCCACAAATTTTGGTACTTCCTACATATACACAAGGACTAATTACTGTAATAATCTCCAAAGTATGTATTTTATGACATTTTGGTCCTTAATCTTCCAATTGTGTCAATTTAGTGTCCTAAATACAAAATGTGCGTTTATGTAGTCTCAACCCTAAACTAGGGGTATTTTTTAGGAAACACCATTTTTAAAATTTTAATGTGGCAATTAAATCCTTATTCAACAAAATTTAATAAGAAATATGTATACATTCATATACATAAAATAATTTAAACAAATTTAATTTTATGTTTTAGTCATATTTTGCTACGTAAACAGTTGCAAAGTTGGCTTGATGAGCAGAGATGAGGAAGCGGGACCAAGAAAACCAATAATATCTTTCTTGTCCACACTAGATCAAAACCACGCTCTGTTATCAGAATCTTACAATTCACGATTCGATTCGCAATTTTTGCAAAATCGATACGAATCTATTGGTGAATCTATTTTGGAAGTGAATTTCTAGTGAATCGCACGATTCACAATCGATTCACGATTCGATTCATTTTTTACGATTCATGCAACTTTTGAAATTATTGTGTCCGACATATTTTCGACTCTTTTTTTCTCCATCTTTTTAGTGAAAATGGCATAATACAACTTTTAATAGCGTTTAATACCAAAATAATCAACATATATACATGATTTATTGTTATTTTAGCGATCATGGAGTTTTCAATAGGATCCAATCAGATTCAATCAGACCCAACATATTTTTAACCTTTCTTCTCAATTTTTTTTTCTTTTAAAAAATCATAATTTATCTTATAAAGATGTTTAAGATTAAAGTTACACTAGAAATTATCTATTACTATTTTATTAAATTGAATATTACATATGTGAGGTTAGTTATACTTTTTAAAATGCTTTAGGCTTTAAAATAAAAGATTCTAAATAATTCATTCTTATTATTTGCTCACTGTTATTTAGAAAAGTATATATGCTTATTGTCCAAATATCAACATTGTTGTTAATTATTGTTACGTTGGAAATTGATAATTTGTCTATTTGGTTACTATCTTTATTAAGAATGGCTAATAAGAAATATCTAAAAAAGAAAAAAAGGCAAGATGGTGATATTACATCTTTATTAAGAATGTTTAATAAGAAATATCTAAAAAGGGAAAAATGTAATATGGTGATCTTACATAGGAACCTTTGTTAACTTCTTACCTATTAAACTACGTGATTATTATTCAAAATAACATTTTCATTGATTTAAGTCTAAATATTTTATATTCATAAGATATATTTAACATCTAAATATGTAGACATATATTTTTAAGTAATTTAAAAAAAGTGACTGAATCTTTACGATTCACGATTCGATTCGATTCGCGATTCGGTACAAGGCCATTTCGATTCACGATACGAATCCCGATTTGACAACTATGAAACCACGCACTATCAACCTTAAGATCAAGTCAGATCACCCAATCCTACCCATGCACTTGGCCTCAAAATATCCTTCCTTTTCTCTCCTCCGTCAACGTCAACCACCACCCCTTTTTCTTTGTTACCCGTCCCTCCCCCCCCTCTCCCTGACCTGTCGATCCACCTTAGCCTCTCTCTCTCTCTCTCTCCCGTTAGTTGCCCATGCCCATATATCGTCGACCTTTTTCCGCCCTACAACTCCTCTGCCCCTCCTCTCCCGCTTGCATTTTGTCATCCTACTATCACCATACCTTTTCACTCTCTTCTCTTTTGCCCCCATCTTTGGTCGGCACCATTGCTTGCCACCTCTCTCTCTCTCTCTCTCATCTTCAATGGCAATCATCTATCGCGGGTGGGCTTCTTTTTGTGTATGTTTATGGAAGATGAGTGGGAGAGAGAGAGGAAGAGAGATCGGGGGGGGGACACTCTATGGGTGTTGTCAGAGAAAGAGACCATGACGGTGATGGTGATGTCAAAGGTGGATGAGAAAGAGAGATAAAGATCAGAAAGGGAGATCATGGCAGTGATGGTGGTGTCATTGATGATATGGTGCATGACTCTCAGTTGTGGTTTGGCTGTGTATCTCAACGACAGTGGGGACGGTGATTGGTGGTTGCTGGTTGGTGGTCCGAGGGTGATGAAAAGGTGAGCTGAGTCAACAATTGGTTTAACTTGGAGTGAGTGAACTTAGTAATTTTGATTGATGTTTAGGTGTTTTTTCCAAAAATATCATTGGTTCCATTGACAAATTTGGACAGTGTCTAGCGTGGGGACCACATAAACACACATTTTGTATTTTGGGCACTAAAATGACACCATTTGAGGATTGGTGACCAAAGCACCACATACCTCATACATTAGGGACGATTAATGTAATTAGTATTATATATAATCATGTTTGCAGTCTCTACCATTTTTTTCATATTCTCGTTTGTGTTTGTTGAGGATCTAATTCCAACATGGTTCCACTATTTCTTTCCTCTGCAATAGAAACATTGAATTCATTAGATATTGATTCCTGAAATAAATGGAAAACATTAGGCCATGGAATTGTATGTATTCCTCAGTGTTGTGAAAAGCGCACTGAGGTGATTGCCTAAGTGTGAGGCGATGCAAGGCGAGGCTTTGGTGCCTTGGAGGGACTGAGCCGAGGCAATATAGAGAAAGTCTTACTTAGGTGCAAATAGCAAGTGCCTTTCGATGTCTATTTTTTTTATCTTTTAATCTGGGCTTTTTTTTTATCTTTTAATCTGGGCTTTTTATTTTTTGACTTTTACATTAAATCCCTATTACAATTACCACACCATAATAGCTCTATAATTATAAATTATTTGTGTGCCCCAACTCATACAATGGACGGTTGGCGAAGGTGAGTCATCTTCAACTCTTATACCAAGAAGATCCTTCAATTGGTTTGTCCTTTATTAAATGACTTGTCTTTTTGTTGGTTTTTTGTATTTGTGATGTTGGGTTTTTATCTTTTTTATGAATATGTCTGTTTGGTAACGTTTACGTTTTCAGTTTATATTTACAAAAATTTTATAAACTGGTTTTTATTTTTTTTTTGTTTATTCTTAAAAAACCATAAACTACAAACGCGTTTGGTAAAACGGAAACACATTTTTTGTGTTTTCATTTTTTGGCCAAATTTATAAACTGACACCACTGATTTATAAATCAAAAATTTTACCAAACAAGTTTTTATTTGAGTTTTTTAAATTTTTGTAAATATAAACAGAAAACTGAAAACGTAAGTGTTACCAAACGACACCGTAGTATTTGGAATGGTAGATTTGTTGTATTTTTTTTTTTTTATGAATATTTAGTATTTTGAATGTTGAATGCATTATGGTTCTTAGAAATATTGAAGTTTTTGTCTATACTACTAATTGTTAAAAGGTCATCCTTTGTGTTTGCCTTGCTTCTATGAAGCCCTCATCTCACTTCATCGCCTTGCGCTTAGGAATTTGATTCCCCCACTCCCCCATGGGAATCTCACATTTCTAGAGGAATGTTAGCCATTTAAGGATAAAAAAAAGTAATTGGGCCAACAATATCTAAAATTGTATTATTTTTCTATTAAGAATTCCTAACGAAACCAAAACGCTTGAATAGCATTGACATTGAAATCTTATTTCTAGTAATCTCATTATCCCATTCCCCCTTAAGTTTTTTGTCATTCAAACATAACTTGAACTCTTATCTCGATTCATGAACTTTTTTTTTTTTAATGCGTGTGTGGGTTAGAACAAACTGAGGCAATTACAAGGAGAGGTCTGGGCATGCACAATGAAGAGTAATAACTACAAAAGTTCAAAGTCAAGTACATTATGGACTAGAGAAATGTGACTTAGTATGGATATTGGTATTCTAAGAAATGATCCCCGGGGGACAACAAAACATCTTAGACCACATTCCCCCAGTAAAGAGAGTAAGAGTCTCAAGTTTGAGTCTCCTTAAATTACCTATCAAAAAATGTGATATTGCAAGAAGAAATGCAACTAAGTTTACATGATTTATATTATTACTGCCTGTCACTATATTGTGTTCCCACAAAAAATAAAATAAATAAATATAAAATCATTAGTCGCAGCCAGCTGACATCATTAACTCCAATTTTTAGGGCGCCCCATCATTGTCGACTTCTCCCCAGTGACAGATTTTCGTGAAGCTACTTGTAGGCAATATGAGGAAAATGTATGCAATCGGGGTGGCTACTGCAATTTCATGCATTTGAAAAAGATTGGCAGGTGAATTTCATGGTGTTATTTCTTCACCTTTATGTTTTTTTCCAGTTTCTCATTACCTATTCTTTCGAGATTGATGCATATTTTTTTTTCTTTTTTTAATTATTAAATAGAGAGTTGAGGAGGCAATTATTCGGGAGGAGTAGGCGAAGGCATAGCCGTAGTCCACCGAGGCATCACAATTATGAGGAGCGTTCGCATGGTGGCCGTGGTTCTGGTAGGAGGGGTGATGATCGAGACCACCGCCACCATGACAAGGGAAGGAGGCCTAGAAGCCGAAGTCCTGTACGAAGGGGAGGACGAAGCAGAAGCCCCGGGGAAAGGAGAAATAGGAGCCCAGTTAGGGAAGGCAGTGCTGAGAGAAGGGCAATGATTGAGAAGTGGAATAGGGAAAGGGATGTGGAATCTGCTAACAAGAATGGTAACAATGATAATGACGACAATGGCATTACAGAGAACCGAGAACAGTATAACGACCCTCATGAGGAGCAGCACCCGCAGGAACACAGAGGCTATGACTACTGATCCAAGTGGCAGTGTTGTTGGGTTTGTCCCCCGAGCCCTTTCTTAATTGATTCAGCAGTCTTTGCACCTTGATTTTAAAATGGAACAAATTTGGCTGCTTTTTTTTTTTTTGAAAAATAGCCCTTTTGGAAAAGACAGCTTACTGTCCATTTTCCACTGTGCAGGTGGAGTACAGGTTCATTGTCATATGATATTCAAAAACATTTTTTTCTTCCTTTTTTCCTCTCATCCATTAAAAGAAGCTGAAAATGAATTTCAAAGAAAAGACACAAAGGACCACCTCAGTACTTGAATGCCTACACTAAAACCCTTCCAATTCTCCAATTTGTCATCTCCCATTCAACGATTTTTCATACTCTTTTTTATGCAGATTTTCTAAAACTTGGTTATGGTGATACCAAACCTTTTTCTCAGCGAGTTTCTAATAGTCCAATATGTTTGCAAAATTTGACCTACTTTCTAGCTATTTTCTTCTCTTGAGAGCACACGGAGAGTCTCATGTTTTGATATGAAAAATGAGTGTGTCAAACATGGTGAGAGATGCTATTTCAGGTTCTCAACTTTCTCAATCCACTCTTAACTAAAAGATGCAAAATACTTTTTTCCCTGGAAAATTTTGGACAAAAGCAAGTGTGGTACAGTGATACTCATGCATGGATTATAATTCATTATTATATTTTTATCGTAGTTTGTGATTCTTACATATTTCCCAAGTGTTGCAGGTTCAGGTATTCCTGGTTCCAGGATTGAGCCTCATTTTTATGCCAGCTTACCATGATATTTGTATACAGGTTCACACTACCATTGTCTGCAGACCAAGTTTATACAGGACCTAACATCGTTAGCTGGAAAACAACTCAAGCAGCTTTCAGCTTTTAAACTGATGAATATCATCACTGAAGGTCGTTGGCTAATGTCATCTTCGTCATGTGTCTTTTTAATATTAGCTTATGGATACTAGATCATATGGTGCCTAAGAAGCAGCCATAATCCTGCTTTGTCACACTATCTCTTCAAGTCATTTCAGAATTATTCTGTGCTATTTGTATTGTGCTTTTGGTTTTCTATAGTTTGCTTGTTAAATAGTACACAGAACTTTCAGCATGTTTGGTACTGTTCTTAGCATTTTTGGTTTATTTTGAAAAACTGTCAAAAGTGTTTAGTGCAATATTTGCTTACAACTTATCAGGAAGAAATATAAGCTGAAAAAAAAAATTTATTATTGGGAAGCAAAGGAAAGGATGTTTTTCAACTTCTGCTATTTGATTATCAGTTTACATTATACACGGTGCACCAAACATGCCATTATGCTTAATATTGTGGCAGGAATGAAATTTTGGAAGGCTACTCAACTTATGTTTTGAGAGCAAATTTGCAACATACTAATCTCGAGAATGCTGGCGTGAATGATGGTTATATTATTATGTGCCAAGGTCTCTTCTGTGTTGATTTTGAGCCCTAGGTACAAGATGTTCATAAAAGCATGGGCCTTGTTTGGTTTGTTTTTAGAAACAAATTTTGGAAAAAAAAATTTAAAATTTTGTTTGGTTCAGTGATTTTGGAAATTTTTTTCCTTCCAAAATCACTTTCTATCTTCTACACATCAATCAATTATTTTTTTTCTCCCCCTCTCCTTTTCAGTCATTTTTTCTCACACACGTCTATTCAACTATAACAAAATATTAAATCATCCTAAACTCCCACACTTATAATTTTTTTTCAAAATATATAACCAAACAAATCAAAAAAAATTCTATACTCTTTTTCCAAAATTTTTTTGAAAATTTCTTCAAAACCAAACCATACCAAACACACCCATGGTTTTGCAATTAGATTTGAGTAGTGGACTAAGGAGTTGGTGGCCATCCTCTGAACTCATTGAGCAACAAGCCAAGCCAAACAATGAATAGTTGCATAACCCACCACATTTCATGTCCATCTAAATGCCACTTCTCAACCTAAAGAGTTCCCATATATGCATAACAGCACATTCCAAAACTATTACAGCACTTCCTTGGCTGATGACCATACCAGACACTGAACTTAACCATGATGCCATTCACTTGCAAAGGGCAACCATAAACAGATAGAAGTATTCAAACAACCAAGAAGCAGCCAACAGACACACAACAGACCATAGCAATTATCCACCTCTTAAACCGGAACCACCATTGGAATTTTGATTCCACCAGTTATAGGGGTAGGGAGTGAAGAGAATTTTCTTAAAATCATGATTGGCTTGGAGTGAGGGAGATAGATATCTATAAACTCTAAGCACATGGAAAATGATCAAGAGGTAACTAACAGCAATAAATCAATGGGCACCCACATTTCAACGTCATAGAGTAAACAAAATGATCAATTGCCGCTAATGGAAAAACCTAGCACCATATTTTATTCAGACCATTTGACAGTAACACCCCTAGTGTAAAAAGCTAGTTGACAGCAAAGTTTGGTGTAGTAAAACAGTACCAAATAGACTAAGCCTGCATTTACATCTAATAATATGAACCCTCAAAAACACCTTAATACAGGTGGCTTTCTCTCAAATCCTATACCGAACAAGTTCCAAAACTCAAGCAGAAGCTCTCCCTTTAAATCCATTTATTTTTCTGCACTGTGCTTGGCCTTTGTGTGTGATTCCAAGGCATTTTCCGAGTTAAACGACCTACATAAATTTTGGTTTAAAAAAAATTTGATAAACTGCACCAAGTCCACATCTTAACAAAATTCAACAAGTCCCAAGGTTATTTACTTGTTACATGACTTGCAAGGATTTGATCCAGCTGATTTTGGAGTTGGCTGCTTTGACTGATTACCAGGAGTTTTCCCAGCCTGCTTTTCGGGATGAGTGGTAGCCACGTGGACACTTCCTTTCTTGGCATCTACACCAACAAAAGGGTTACTCTTCAAGCATTAACTTATCCACATACAAACTGCCTATACAATCACTACTTTAAGTGTGGCTTATGATAATTCTGAGCATTTCATATATGAAGCAAGATAACCACGGCAGGAAAAAACAAATCAACAGTAGTAATTAAAACAATATCAGAGTAGAAAACATCCATAAGAAAAGGCAAATATAAGTTAGAGAATTGCTAACTTCTTAAAAAAAATGAAAGAGAATTGCTGTAGTACTCAAAAACATTATATCCTAAAAGAAGTTACAGAGGAGAACATCATTAATTTTAAACAGGAATCTCTGAGAACATGACCGCAACAATTCCACTAATAAAAACTTCACTACTAGTGAAGAAACCTTTTTTTTTACATAATCATAAACATAACTAAAACTCTGGAAAGATAGCCTATGTGACTGATAACAGCTAGGTAAACTGCTACTCCATTAGTTTCCCCATGACCCCTATAAATCCACATCATGGAAAATCTTGGCTTTATGTGCAGAATGGACTGTCCAGGAGAAAGTACTAGTACTCACCAGTAGAAATAAAACAAAAAACAAGAACAATACCAGACTTTTGAGGAGTAACCAATTTTGCTTTCTTATCAGGACCAGGTGTCTTAGTAGCAGATTCTGCAGGTCTCTTCTTGCTCAGTACAACCTTGAAAGAAGGAAAACAATATGAATTTAGCCAGCAAATAAAAAAAAAAAACAAAGAAATATTAGACGTAATTTCCAACCATCCTTCAACCTATTAAAACTATTAAGGGGAATATAGACAATAAATTGTAAATCTACCTTCTTTGGAGCCTCTTCCTCCTCGTCATCATCCTCAGTCTCAACTTCCGCACTCTCAGATTCAGTATTATAGCTCTAAGCCAAAAGACAAGCAAGTGTTTGCTACACTTAGTTACAGAGGTATCTAGAAGGCATTTGTTCTTTATCGCCATAGATACCAACTAGAATTGGCAGAAACATATGTTGGGGACACCATGATATAAGATGACAACATATATATGCATATACATACATACATATATCAAAATCACTGCCAAAATGCAAAGAATTGCTCTAGGCAACTGCATTGTAACTTCCAAAATGTAAGTGCCTAGAAAATCAAGGCTCCGTTTGGTAAGCAATTCAAATTATAGTTTCACCCATTGACTTGAGTGTGTTAATTGTTTTGAGCTTTCAAATCATAATTCTACACCCATTTCTCAAACCTCAATTCAAAACATAATCATTACTTTTCAAAACTCATAACCAAATACATAATTCAAAACTCTTTTCATAACTCAATTCAAATCAATATTTTAATTTTTTAAATATTTAAATATTTTAATTTTGTTAAGATTTTAAATATTTTAATATTTAAATATGTTACGATTTTTTAAATTTTTAAATTTTTTGAATATTTTTAAATATTTTAATTTCAAAATATTACGATTTTAATTTTTTAAATTTTAAAATATTTTATAAAAATAAATTCAAACTCTATTTTATAAAAATAGAGTTTGAAGGCTATTTAATTCTTAACATTACCCTTATCAATTCATTTAAATTTGTAAAAACTTATGTGATACAATGGAAAAATTATTGGGTGCAGATGGGATACCATGTGGCATGCCACGTGGTGCCTTCAACCAATCACAAATATTTGATTTAATTTTTTTGAATATTTATTTTAATTTTTTACTTATTAAATTTTTTAGATTATTTAAATTATTTAAATATTTATGATTTAAATTTTTTGAATATTTATTTTAATTTTTTACTTATTAAATTTTTTAGATTATTTAAATTATTTAAATATTTATGATTTAAATTTTTTGAATATTTATTTTGAAAAAAAAATTATTTCCTTTGTAGTATTTTCAATTAAAAATTTGATTAATTTTATTTTCTGTTAATAATAAATTTTTTTAATTGAATTTTAAAAAGAGTTTGGCTATGAGTGTTGATCAGAATTTTCAATGGTGTGAAAGTAGTGTGTTTTGTTATGAGTTATAACAATTTGAATTAAGTTTTAAAAATTCTTTTCAAAATTCATAATCAAACAAATTCTCTTACTTCACATGTCAAATCCAACTTTCAAAACTCAATTCAACACTCTATTCAAAAACCATAACCTAACAAGTTTTCTACACTCAAATCGTAATTCCACAACTCACAAACTCAAAATACAACTCATACTCTCAAATTATATTTACAAAACTCTACCAAACGCAACTCAAGATTCTGAGATGCATGATATTTTCCCTGTCAATAGTAACATGTACCCTTACTGCTATTTACCAAGGCATAGACATGGACTTGTTTCAACTCAGAACAATAAAACACAATCTATTTTTCCACTTCTACCAACTGCACCTACAGAGTTGCATTACGAGACATAACACCATAATATACAGAGGCAAATGTGCATCCATGTGGTGTTGGCTCTGGAAGTTACGGATTCCACAGAAACTGAAAGGGTTCTTGTGGTGTTGTCTCCATGGGAAACTCCTCACAAATAAGCTTTGTTTGAAAAGGGGTTTGACTTTGGAGGCCACTTGCCCCTATTGCTGTAAAGAGGAGGATATGAATCACCTCCTTAGAGACTGCTTTAAAGCAAAGGAAGTATGGTTTGCTATTTTTGGAAGGCATTGGTACTTGAATATGTGTAGCAAGCCTTGGAAGGACTGGATCATTTGTAATTCAAAAAACAAAAATCATTTTAATGATAACCTTACTGTCTACACTATTTTTATTGTTACTCTTTGGGCTATTTGGAAGAATAGGAACCACCAAGTCTTTAATAATAGTGTAAATAACATTCTTGGCAGTGGCAGGTTCATCATGCAATATTCTAATGATATTCATCAAGCTTTTGTTTTGTCTATTGTTAATCCAAGACCTACTTTTAGACTCATTTCATGGTCTCTTCCACCTGCAGGTAGACTGAAGTTAAACACAGATGGTTGTAGAAGAATGGGAGGTGAAGGTGGATTCGGAGGTCTAATTCGCGATGAAAGGGGGACATGGGTGTGTGGCTATTATGGGAAGCTTCACAGTGGCACTAGCTTGGAGGCTGAACTATGGGCGATCTACAAAGGGCTCACGGTGATTTTACAAAAGGGAATGAACGATGTAACCATTGAGACAGAGTGTGAGCAAGCAATGAAGCTGCTAAAAGAGGAACCAAATGCCAAATGCCCATTCAAAGGGCTGGTGGAGGATGCTCGTATCATCATGAGAGGTTGTGAATGTACTGTGCAGCATGTGTATAAAGAAGGCAACCTTTGTGCTGATGCTCTGGCCAAATTTGGTGCTACTCAACCTAAAGAGATCTTAGTGGTTAATGAACCACCAGCTGGTATTAAGGAGTTCCTAGTTGCAGACATGATTGGCATGTCTTGTGAAAGGGCCTAGGCCTGTGTTTTCTTTTTTTATTTCCGTTGTACCTAAAAAAAAAATATATGTGCATGCATGCCCATGTACATATATAAATCAAACAATCAAAGTAGGCTTACAACAAATACACACCATAAATCTTCTTTTTTATCAGAAAACACGAGAGTAAAAAGCCATGATAAATTCTCGACAAAAAAAATTACCTCATCTGAATCAGTGAAAAAATCAGAAGTTGAATCATCAGTGCTACTACTACCTTCTTCAACATTCTTAGCTGCAGGAGGTTTATCTTGCTTAGCATGTGACTTGGATTTTCTTACGATGACAAATTATAAAGGAAGCAGACATGGTGCTTTTAAAATTGGGGAATTACAATGCAGTGGGATAGAGGAAAAAAATTACAAAAACATGGGAGGTGCAAGTGATTCTATGATGGGATGCAAGGGAAAAATTATGGGGGTGCAAACTTGCACCCCTCTATGTTTGTGTTATAAAAAAAAAAATTCTGTCCCACTGGGATGTAATTTCCCCTTTTAAAATTTCAATGTACATACTATTATCAGCAGCATTAACTGGATGTTTCAACTCAGACTTAGACTCTACAAATAAGAAATAGGTATGAGTGCAATGACAAAAGGTGGAAAATAAGGAACATTAGAGCAGTGTGTTGACAAACTCACCAGAATCATTCTCAGGCGTGATCATAAAAAAGACAATCAGTTAAGGGAGACAATAACGACAAATAAACACACCCACCACCCAGAAAAAGGGGAAAAAGGAAAGCCAAAACTGGAAAAAGGAAGTAAAAATAATGCCAAATATAACGGCAGTAAGACCAAAAGCCAAGGAAAAATTTGCAGGAAATAGAATTCCATATAAGAAGAGAGAAGAAAACAAACAGAAAAAGGAAAGGATATTTATTCGATGGATTATCACATCTATATCCTGACAAGCAGACATAGCCACTTTTCCAGTTGTGGGATAGCACAAATTTTCTGTCGAACACCACATCAAATTGCTGCTGAGGGAATTTCTCAGGAGAAAGTGTTCCAAGGACAAGCTTCTTGCCATCAACGGTGGCATAGAGGTAAATGGATTCACTCCCTTTGTTCTTTTTAACCTCACCAAGACAAGCCTGTAGACAAGTATTTCACACACTTCAATGTAAATGCAAAGGATGCAACAATAATTAATTAAAACAACTACCAACTAAAATTCTGGTTGTTCAACCATAACCTGTGAAAGATGCACGATCTTGCCTTTCCCAGGTCTTACTGGGCGACTCTGTCCACTTTTGACCTTAAGTCCTGTACAATTATGACATGGTTAAGAATTCTCAAAAACTGCATTCAATAAACCAGTATAAAAATAGAAATAAAAATATAATAGCTGCACAAAAACATAACATAGAGTGCAGCCAAAAATTGACACATGTAGCTTGACAATTCAATAAACAACCAGAACTCTGTAAATGATTGCACCATTCTGTAAATATAAAAAACCAGTGTCTGATTTCAGTCAAATAATTATATATAATTGTATAAGTAAATATGTCTATTTGTTAAATACATGCATGCATACATATTTTCCTATATCCTTAAAAGAAACAGAAATCTAGCACAAGATTCGACTTGAATATCTTTTCCTCCTCTAATAACAGGAAAACTTATCACAAAGGAAATTAATGATGGATGCATTTAGAAATAACAAAACAAGTTTAACTTAAGTTAAAAATGATTATTACAGGCCATTTATGTGCAAAGTGGAATTTAATCCAAGAAAATATTGGAAGTATATTTTCCATCCATTAAAAATCTTTCCATCATGAATAAATAAAAGACAATAGGATGAAAAGAGAGGTATTAATGAAATATCAACAAATATAAAAATAAAAAATAAAAAAATCATTAACAATCAAAATGTAATGAATCAATCAACAAATCTTATGTCAATAAAAACCATGTGTTCAAGGCTTCCAGCGCCAAAGTTTCACACTATTTTTTGCTTTTCCACAAAGGCAACCAAAAATACAATCAAGGGCTTCAGTTTAAAAATTTTGATACTGTTGTTAATAAGGAAGAAAACCAGTATTTTTACCCGTGATACCAAATTCAACCATGAGACGGGTAAATGAATGAAGTTCAAAACATGATTTAAACAACGAACAAAAAATCTAAAAATACATAACTCCATACCAGACAGGGATTGCAACTAAAATATTGACTAAAATTAGAATAGCCTAATTATGTGCAATTTCAGAAACCTGTTTTTTTATATAAATGCCAAGACAAGTTACAAACACTTCTAAAACACTTTTTTTTTTTTTTGATAAATGACGACACCCCCCCAAAAAAAAAAAAAAAAATGTACATACAAACTGTTGAAAATCTAAACATCTAATCAAATAAATAAGTGGCAAAAAAAAATTCATAAATCTCATAGCAAAACAAAAAGCTTTTTTAGAAGACAAAAAAGAAACAACAAATGCAAAATACTACTGTGCAAATTGTAGAACTCATTAACTTGTGAGAAGTGATTCACATGGACCCTTCAAAGGTCGCTATCTCTTCTTCTTCTTCTCTAGTTATAAAAATTTCGGAAAAGGAAAAAAAAAACCTACAATGTATGATTTAATATTCAACATATAAGATGATACAGCAAGAAGAAATTTCTATCTAGCCCAGTTAACAATTGAACCCAAACATAGACTGGAAGAACAAAATTGACAATAACATTAACTTGAAGGATTGAGATTCTCTCATGTTGAGATCTCAACATGAGAAAGCTTGAGGGGCCTATGGGGCTCACCATGGATCCCGTTTCGAAGATCTGAACTGTTCATTTTGTAGGGTCGTCAAGGTCTATTATTAATGAAAAAAATTAATTCAATCTAATAATCATAACTTTTTCATTTTATTGCATTTGTCTCTGAAAAAATGTATGACAAATATATTTTTGAAATTGACCATCCATTTTTTTAGAGACAAATGTGACAAAATAAAAGGGTTACGATCATCAGATCGTCTGAAATTTTTTCATGGATAATATAAATTAAAAATCCTATAAAATGAACAGTTCAGATTATGAAATGAGACCCATGGTGGGTCTTAAGTTCTCTCATGTTGAAATCCCAATAAATTTCTTGCAGTCAATTTAGGGCATAAATTACATCCAACAAAACCTTAAATGTACACTTCCTCAATGCATTTTCCATTTCTAGACAGAACCATGTAAATTAAATACCACAACCCACGACATCTACACACTATACAGATATGCCTATTACCATTTTTATACACCTTCAAATACACACAATGTAACAAACACAATGTGTACAAAGCGTATATATGTGCATACATGAACACCAAAACTATTGCCACACAACAATGAGCGAAATCGAAGAGCCTAATAAAATATGATCAACATCAGAGCTACAAGACAACGAACAAGCAACAAGCCAACAAAAAAAACTGTATGTAGATGAGAAACCACAAAACCCTAATGCGTTTGAAAATGTAAAACAATAAGGCCACAAATGAAAGGTACGACGTTGCAACAGATTAATAGATAAGAGTTTAGGAGAAGAAAATGAGAGAATATTATTACCCCAGAACTCCATTGATCGATTTGAATGAGAGCTTCAAAGCTATGGAAACTTTGGAGAGTCAGAATTAGGGTTTTAGGATAGAAAAAGTGAGAGAGAGTGAGGGTTGCGGAACGAGGTTTATAAAGGTGGTGTTGGGGCGTGCGGAGAGCTGCGATACTTTGCGCGTACTACCAAAATTTCAAAATGAATTTTTTACTTGAATTATGAAAAAAATAGGAAAAATTAGTCTAAAATCATTCTTTCATTTTTAGTAATAAAAAAAAAAATTGATATTATTTTTTAATGTCTAAAGTTTCTTAACCCCACACCCATATATCACAGAAAAATTTGACTCTCTCTTTCTCTACAATCTTTATTCTAAGGCGAGTTCGTTTCTCTCTCTCTCTCTCCAAACCAAACCCCCTCTCTCTCTACACATTCCTCTTTCTCTCTGCTCTTTTCTCCTCTCTCGGTCTTCATCTCCGACAACACCACCACAGCCCTAACATTACTATCCTGCCATCAGCAATGGAGGTCGCCATTATGGCCTTGCACTTCTTCTCCACCACCGCCACCGCAACTCGCATGCTATCTTCATCTACCAATTGAACCCTAAGTTGGTCCTCTCACAGAGCTTCTCTCTCCTTCAATTTCCTCTCTCCCTCCGTCACCGTCAGCGTCTCTGGCGGTTTCTCCGGCTAGAAGCTCTGCCCTGCCTCTCCCAACCCCTACTCTAGCTCTCATCCCAAAAAAGGTATCGTCACCACGGTACTGTTCCCAAAACCCACAAATTTGCGTCACCTTCTTTTTTATCTAGGGTTTTTCAATTTTCTGATATATAAAGCTCTAATCCAGAAGTTCCTTCATTTTCAATTCAACATTTTTCATTTTTTTCGTTTAATAGTAGTATCTATTATATATCTTGCTCTACTTCGTAGAGGTCTCGATCCAACTCTTTTTCGCCATTGAAGTTTAAAGAAAAAAAATTATCTAGCTTTGATTTATATTGCAAGTTTGATTTGATTTCTTGGGGAAAAAAAATTCCACTTTTATGTTGGTTGATGTCCTGTTTGGTTTCTATTAAAATTGAGAGAGCCATTCATGAATGAGCAAGTTATTCTCTGAGATTTTGTAGAGCTGATTATAAATTATCTAGCTTCTTGAAGCAAATTCCAAGTTTCAGAAATCAATTGACAATTTTCTTGCCTGTTGTTGGTTATATATTTATTTTGTTGTTGGATAAATGGTAGTTGTTCAATTTTCTCTGGTTTGTTGTTGTTCAATTTTTCTGATTTGTTGTTGTATGAATGTCTTACAGTCCAAAGAAAATTGGTCAAAATGGTGGTTGTTCAATTTTCTCTGATTTGTCATTGTTCAGTTTTCTCTGATTTGCTGTTGCATGAATGTCTTATAGTCCAAATAAAATTGGTCAAAATGGTGATTGTTCAATTTTCTCTGATTTGTTGTTGTATGAATGTCTTACAATCCAGAAAAAATTGGTCAAAATGGTGTTTGTTCAATTTTCTCTGGTTTGTTGTTGTATGAATGTCTTACAGGCCAAAGAAAATTAGTCAAAATGATGGTGGTTCAATTTTCTCTGATTTACTGTTGTATAAATGTCTTACAGTCCAGAAAAAATTGGTCAAAATAGTGGTTGTTCAATTTTCTCTGGTTTGTTGTAGAGTGAATGTCTTGCAGTCCAGAGAAAATTAAACAACAAAAAACTAGAGAAAATTGGAAAAAAGCCACACAAATTTTCTCTAGATAGAGCCACACAAAGCCACACAAAGCTTCTCTATACAATTTTCTCTGGATTTCTTTGGTACTTAGAGAAATTTCAGTTTTCTCTGGTTTGAAAGATGAGGAATAAAGTTGGAAGAGAAGAGAGAACTGCAATTTTCTCTAGTTTGATCAATTTTCTCTAGTTGAGTCAAAACACAATTTTCTCTGACATGTTTAATTTTCTCCATGATGTTCAATTTTCTCTGGATTTCTCCGATTTAGAATTTCTCTTGAAGAGAAGAGAGAACTGCAATTTTCTCTAGTTTAGTCAAAACACAATTTTCTTTACCTTGAATAATTTTCTCTGTGATGTTAGAATCTTGTGACAAAATGCATTTTGTTGAGTGATAGAAGTTAGAATCCTGTTATTGAAGTAGGATTAGTATTAGTTGTGAGTCATTTTTAAAAGATTATGAATTAGATTGTCATAATGTTGGTATTTACCCCCATAATTGATACCAGTTTTCGAGTTGTAGTTTGCAAAAATTTGAACTCAGAGAAATTTCAATTTTCTATAGGTTTGGGAAGTCTAGAATTTCTCAATTTTCTCTAGTTTGAAACTACCAATCAGACCACCGCTGCATTCATCAAAGGCAGTGGTAGAGATATCAAAGATGAATTGTGGGAAAAGAGTACTAAAAGCTTGAAGAAATTTGCAAACTAGAGAAAATAGCGAACAGATCTGAATAATAATGAAGCCTTGTGAATTTTCTCTGGATTTTGCAATTTTCTCTGGATTACTCTTGAATTTTTTTTGGATTTGACAATTTTCTTTGGATTACCTTTGAATTTTCTCTAGATTTGACAATTTTCTCTGGATCGAATTTTCTCTAGATCGATATTGAGAGATTTTAGACATTATGAAAATATTGAACGTCCTTTATACTATAAAATTTTAACGCTAGGGACCTTAAAAAAAATATTGAGTACAAAGTTGATATTATTTGGGGTGTTATTGATTAATAAAAAATTATAAAAAAATAAATGAATAAATCTTATTTTACATTAATTCAATATTATAGTTGAGGTGTAAGTTGATTCAGTCATTTGGATATAAAAAAAAAAAAAAAAAAAACTCTATATTATAGTCTCTATGAAAAATTAAAATTACTTATTAGATAATTTATTGGAAAATTAAAATTACTTTTTAGATAATTTATTGGCTAATGCATCGTGGTCATAAAAATAAATAAAAAATAAATAAAAACTCTATTATAATCTCTACCCAAAATCAAAATTATTTATTAAATAATTTATTGGATAATGATACTGTTACATGGTATTATCATTAACATCTAATATTTGCTCCTGCATTAGGGTGAGTATATTTTTTACAACAACAGTGCTATATTCATGTAATTTTCTCCCCCACAAATGAGATAGCAAGTAAAATTTTAAAAGTTGATCCACACTCTAATTGATATAGAAGTCGCATTATATTTTTTCACCTCATTTGTGAGAATTGTGAAAAAATAAATGGCGTGAATGAACATTTTTGGCTGTGCTTGGAGCAGCTTTGAAAACATGATTCCAGAGCTGTTTTCAATGTTTTGTTTGGTTAAAATTTTTAAAAATTAATTCCAATATAACATTCCAAAACTTATTTCAGCTTTTGTTTGGAGAAGAGAGTTTTTTTTTTTAATTTTAAATTTTGAAAAGCGCAACTTGGGTCTACCCGATCATCCTCCTGAACGTCCTCCTGAACATCTGACCAGTTGACCAAAATAAATTTTTTTTTGGCACTTGTTATTTGGAAAAGAAAGATGGGAATTTTGTTTTTGATTTTTTTATATTTTAAATCAAAAATATTTAAAAATAATAATTCCAACCAAATATACAATCAAAAGTTATTTTAAAACAGTAATTGAATATTTATTTTGTTTGTAAGATTTTCAATTAAAAAAGTTTTATGTTATTTTTTTTAATAATTATTTTTTTGAATTGAATTTTAAAAAGAGTTTGGTTATGAGTTTTGAATAGAATTTTCAATAGAATTTTGAGTTGTGTGTTTGGTTATGAGTTATAACTTTTTGAATTAAGTTATGAAAAACTTAAAACCGAACAAATTTTCTTATTTCACATTTTACATCAAACATTCAAAACTCAACTCAACACTCAACTCAAAACTCTTTTTAAAATTCATAATCAGACAAATTTTCAACACACAAATTATAATTTTAAAATTTATAAACTCAAAATATAACTTTATTTCTAACTCATATTTCTAAAACTTTACCCAAACGCTACTTTCATTTTACAAACGTTTTCATTTCCGTGTGTGCGGATGGATTTGCAAATAATCACCTAGTGACTTGGTAGTTCTTGATGACCCCAAGTGAAATCGTAAGTCTACTAGTAGACATGGTTGGGGCCTCTAGTGTTAGGCCTAATGCCTTGTTTGGCTTTTCATTTGTTTGTTTTTCTTTCTTGACTTGTACTTCTTTCAAATATATATTTTTTGTATTTTTCTGTGAACTTTTAAATATATATATATATTACATTTTAAATGAGATGTACTAAAAAAGTAAAATTTTATGGTTTTTTTTATTAAGGAATTCACTAAATAGAAAAAAAAAGGAGTATAATTTCATATTTTTTGTATTTATTGATGTTTTTTATATTTTTTACAAATATTTTACTTTTTAAATAAGTGTATCTAAAAAAATTTAAAAAATTTACTAAATTATGAAGTACAAAAATTCTTAAAGACAAAAAAATATGAAAAATAAAAAACTTGAAAATTCAAAAATTACATTTGAAAACCCAAAACCAAACAAACAGAGATATTTATTTTTTATAACCAAATAAAAAAATTATAAATATTTATTAATTTTCGTTCCATTTTCTAAGCTCAATCAAACAAACTTTATATTACTACATAATGTTTAGAAGCTTAAGTTATAGTTTTACTTTTTGGACTAATAAAATAATGAGTGTAGACACTAATGTTTGGAATTATGAGGACAATCCAATTCCAAAATAGCATTGTTCATACTCATTAAGTGGGCCTCTTTCAATACCACCAATTCTGACTTGGTATTATTCTTTTGCTTTCTTAGGATATTTTTCTTCATTTTGCATTCTAAATTCTTATTTTTTTGGTGTTTTTCTCTAATACTCAATAAAAATCCAAAGAAGAAGAAGAAGAAGAAGAAGAGATTCTTTCGATGTAGTTCGTCTTGAAAATCAAATTGGAAAAATATTGATAAAGATAATATTAAACGAGCTAATAAAGAGTATTGTATTTGTCATTGTAATAATTAAATGAAGAGTATGAAAAGATTTAAAAAAAAAAAGAAAGAGAAAAACAAATACTATCACATTTCTATGAATTATATCATGTGTGAGTGAAAAATGTACCTCGTACAAGTGAAAAATTAGAAAGGTTTTC